CAGATCCTCATTGCCATAAATACGACAAATTATAACTGTTTCTCATTGATTATGCAAATAAGATCCTCATTACCATAAATTATACAGGTTTACCAATGCTCTACCCTTCTTAACAAAGGCCATTCAACCATTTTCTCATAATTTATGTAAATGACATGTCCTAGTTTGAATAAGTTATGATCTACATAAATTGTACTCATTGATCATACGCTCTACCCAATGAGTCTTATCTTGAAAAGGCCATTCTACTAGAATTTTCTCATAAATTATGCAAATGAGGACCTGACGAAGTTTCTCCCTCCCTTGACTTCCAAATGTCACAAGTGCGAAATTCCTGCCAGTTACCACTATGGAATCAAAGCTCTTTTTTCATTAATTATGCAAATTCAGATGTAATTTACATAATCAATGTATGCCAATGCAGTGTTCGAAATACTCTTTTTCAGGTACGTGCAAAATTGCACATTGCCAAAATTTTTAGGTGCAATTTGAAAAATGTATGTGCAAAATTATATTTAGCCTTGCATCTTTAGGTTTGCAACTGTTTTACTGTGTATTAACCTTCTTAGCCTGCCACTGCATATAGAAGTTTTAGTATACATTAAAAAGAAGGGACCAAACAAAACATGAACAATGCTAGTATCATCTGTGTTTATAAAAAAAAGAACACAAAAAAAATTTGTCGGCATTAGCTTCAAAGGACGCCGCTAGTGACTTCCGGCCCTCTCACTCGTCATACTTCCACATCTTATACGGCACATAAAGAAAATTTACCAACAGTATGCGAGCAATAAATTTCATTTATTTTGCATATTTGTTTACCTTGAATATCGTGCATGATATAAGGAAAAAATACTGCTTAGAAAAAAACAACGTAAATCTTTTATTCTTGGCGCTCCCCTCCCCCTCCTCTAGGGGCGTCGTCAACATCGGCCGCGGCCGCGGGATCCTCGGAGACGCCAGCCTCTGATGCCGGCTGGGCCCGTGAAAAGAACTTGAAAATCGACCCCTTCTTCATGGGCCCTTCTTCATGCTTTACAAATTTCCTGGGTAGCACTGAATGCTGGGAAATCCGAAAACTCTGTTTTTCACCGATTTTAACCGAAAATTGGACGAAAAAGCCGAAATTACTCTGCCGAAGGACTTCGTCCCACATCGGGCAACAAGTTTCGTGGGTCTCACCATATTTGGTAAATCAGCTACGTAGGCCTTCGCGTCTTGCCATATTTGGTAAATCATTACGTAGTGCCTTCGCGTCTTCACCTGGGGACGAGAGCAGCTTGTTCCCAGGATGTTCAGTAAGGAAAACAATATGGCTGCCATGCGCCCAGCGCGATGCCGACACAGCAAGAAACATGATATATCGGTATTTTCCAGGTGCAAAATTGCACATTCAAAATATTTTTAGGTGCAAATCTTGAAAATTACGTGCAATTTGCACATTGCACCTTTGTATTTCGAACTCTGCCAATGTCACTCTCATTCTCAATTACATATGTAACAAGTTTGAATAACCTTATGGAACACAGTAGAATTACAGTTGTCTCATTAATTATGCAAATGTCATCCTAATTTCCATAATTGTCATCTAACTATGTTGAGCATCACTTAAGCTACCTACACTGTTACACACCAAACATCATGACGATCCCCCAGCCAGCTTTTGAGTTATCCTCCTTCAAAGATTTTGAACAATCACCCTGCTGTTCCAGAACAAGCTGGTAGGGGGCCACCTGGCCCAAACTCAGTTCCTAACCAAAATGACTTCTTCCCGAGCTCAAAAGCTACTTACCAACCATACAAACATTTCTTACCCTAGCATGTCCTGATCATGAGATATCAAAACTGAAAGTTCCACTGCAGTACCATAACAATCTAATCATTTGAGGTCTCATCGAGACCTACCCACATACCAGATATCAAGACAAACCATCTAACTTCTATTCTAAGCATTGAGATATCATGTTTACACACAGACACACAATGACACACAGGCTCACACACAAATGCTAATGAACACACAACTTCTCGAAGGTAAAAAAAAAACAATACCCTCAAAATCCTAAAATGTTAAAATGACCATGAAGTAACGGGCCTCATTTGCATAAAATCAAAATAATTCTCTACCCAAGCAACACAAG